TGGGAGGAGGGAAGGGGGGGGATAGGTGGGCGCGTTCAAATCGAATTTTGTCCAGGGAATTCTCTTCTGCGATATGATTTTTATGCACGGCTGAGACCTTTCCAATACACGAAGCATTGCTACGTCGTCGATGCAGAGCGGAATAAGTTCTTTACACAACTGATATCGGAGCTCGAGGCACGTTCGAGTCTCTCACCGAATCCGATCGTGCATACGGGATATTGCCGCATCTGGTGCCAACCGTAGGCGGACCAGAATTCTCGAATTTAGGGATAAACATACATTTGACCGAGACAAAAATAGATGGACCGTTTTGCTCGGGTTCAGACCGAGGCCTACGAGTAGATTCTCACCAAAATCGTTAATCCTTGGAGTAGTAGACCGTGATATACGAGTGCGGAACCTCGATTCGGAATGCCGAAATGGCGAGGAAATGTGTATTCGCATCCCAGCCCGGCACTCGAACCTCCGACACGAAGACCTCGGCTCGCCTCCCACTCGCATTTCTGGGGCAGTAGAGCCGTTTCTCAAAGCTTTTTTGAAAAGCAACCTATAATTCTGGGGAGAGGGAACATCCTGGAGCGTCATTAGATCTGTCTGACCATTAAGCGCATTCTTTTCCTCATCCCTCAACTGGAATTGATTCAATTTTCACCCATCGAGAACGATTAGATGTAGACAATTAGGCGATGAAGAGATACGAGGTGGGTCTCCGCCCTTGGTTTCATTTTTCCTACTTTCTTCTTTTTCCTTCTCAAAAGTCTCGTTAACCTACAGGAAAAGCTTAAAGACATCTCCAGTACAAATTAAACGAAGTAAAATATTCTCATTCGTTGGATTTTGCAAGATGAAGACATGAAGGCGGAAGACTCATGCCTCGGTCAGGCCCTGAAAATGTTGGCTCAAATTTCGTTTGAAATAAGCATTGTGGCATTTGAGTAATCCATTGAGGTCGTAAGGGTCTCCCATTCATATCTCATTCCTCCAGTCATTATTATTCATTACCGGTTCCATGAAGTCTTAAGCATGCAAACGCAGACGGGGGGAAGTGTGGCTGATATAAATGAGGTCACGATCAGGGGGGGAGGGGGGATGAGGAGGGGGGGGGGGGAATTGATGTATTGGAATTTTAGCCTCTCCACTCCCACGAATGGTTCGGAAGGGGACGGCCCTCTTCCCCGAGGTAATCAAGGGGTCGTCGCGAAGATGAGAGACAGAGGGGATTGAAACAGATGACGCTTTCATCCCTAGGATCATTCCTGTTTTTTTTTTTTCATTAAATTTTATAAATACCACCTCCCTCTCTTCCTCTCTGTGATGGTAAGGGTAAGGGTAAGAAAATGGAATTCCTGTCTATTTCGTGTTCAGCCTTCGAAGACCGAGCACGAAATCGCCACCATTACTTAGCGATCATCCTCATCCCGATAGGTAGGACGGAAGTCGCGAGAACAAGTCCAAATCTCTTCGAGATATTAGTGTGTAAGGAGTTAAGGAGCATTCCTAAAGGCTACTAAGAAAATTTATTAGACCTTCGGCATGCAGACCGACGTTGGAGAATAGACGAATGGGTGACCAGCTGGGACAGCAATAATACGCGCGGCCTGCATTTTTTTATGCATCTCATTCGTATGTGCGTCATTGGCTGTGCACTCTATGAACTCTATGTATGAACGGTGACCGTCTGTATTTGTGGAGGAGCAGGTGTCTGTCGGTTTGAGGAAGAGAATATACTATTTATTTGCTCTCGCAAGATACATGACAGGAAGAGACATGCCTCCTTCATTTTCATGGATATCGGGTGCCTTGAGGGTGCCTCAGGATGGTAGAACGTGGGGGGAGTCGAGGGACGTGGATTTGTTGCCCCACACACGCCTCTCACACAGGGTCTTCCACGAGTCGCCTAATGATTTTAATTGCTCTATCTTTCCAGACGATTACCAGATAGGCATTTGATATTTGTTTCTTTAGAGGAAAGGAAGATTCCTGCGGGTGGATTCTTTCTCCATGTCGGAGATTTCGATCAATAGTCCCGATAGAAATGGAAGATTTGAAGGAAGTCGCTGGGATGTTCATGCGAATACGGAGGAAGACGTGGACTCTTGATATTGTTCCACGTTTCACGAGCTTAAGAACTTCGAAATTGGACTCTCCAAGATATGACTATGTCACGCGCGATGAAATTCCATGATTAATTCTTCCGTTTTCTCGGTCTGTGAAGCCGCAGAAAGACCAGTGGATGCACGGAACGGAATCTACTGGCAATTTAAAAATTTTTCAACTATTTCAAAAATGGTATTATGTGCCCAAGACCTGTCAGAACGCTGGACATTTCGGTGACATGAAATTCATCGTCGAGCTTTGTAGGAAAAATATTTTTTCTTCCTTGGAACATGAGGCGACAGTAATGCGAAGCAAGGCACGAGTAATGACTTTAAAAAGTTGTGAGTGACGCGTGGAACGGTACTTACGCACACCTCTACTTACAACTAGCAAGTCCGGAGGAGATGAAGATGATGAGGTGGAGTTTTCAGATTTCATCGAATGCGGTTTCCGTGACCATCAGCCCCTGCCATCATCATGCCACTTCACTATGCACGGATGTGGAAAGCGAGGAGGGAATGGAACTGAAGTGAAAGTATGCTTAGCCACTTTTAACACGAGAAATTCCTGCTCAACCCCTTAAATGGACTCGCCGCATACGTGCGGTCTGGCACCTGCCTTCTCTCAATGGAATCACCGCACATATGCGTTCAAAAGCTCCCAGTTAAGGGGTTAAACTGCGTAGACGCTGCCGCCGGCAACCTTCTCGCTTTCCTCAAGTCGTTCGATTCTTCAAAACCAATTTCAGTTTTTGACATTCTCATTATCTTGCGTGATGAAGCACAATTTGAGTATTTCAGTACTAGTACGATAGAGGCATGCATATGATCGTGCCTCACGAAACATATTCGAGATGACAGCTGAGAACCGGGTGGATCATTGGATCGAGCCTCGACCTCTCGACGACATGCAAAATAGGGTTGCGGGGTTCGTGTTCCATTCATCTTCTCATCAGTCTTCAGTGAATAGGGCTGCAGGCTTCACGGTTCGGGCGACAATCATAGTCGGAAAATGAAAAGATAATACGGCTGTTGCTACATGACGGAAAGGCCCTAAAATATAGATTTTCCTCCATTGAAAAATTCCGTTTGTTGTCGTTGCACTTTCCCTTTCCCCACCTCCTGCATTAATTTTTTTCCAATCTCTTTTCACCCATTCCTCCCCATAATATTTCACGGGAAAAGGCATCTCCGTTCCCGCGAACCTCGTCCGCAGGTTCGCAAAGGTTTTCCTAGCCTGGGCGAGTGCAAAAAGAGTTAAATCTAAGAACAGAAGAAGGAATTTTCTGCCCTTTGAAGAGAGTTAGGGTCAAAGCAGTGAAACTTTTAAAGTACTCAGTACCCTAGAAACCATGCGTTCTTGTCGCGTTCACTTTTGTTTCTCGAGGTGCCTGGATGAATGTCGGCAACTCCGTTTCGGTGGAGTCTACCCACGGGAAATATTTTTGCTTCACAATACATGAAAAAAGGAAAATCATCATCTCAGAAGTTCGAATACCGGACCACAGCAGGCAAATGGAATTTACGGAATTTAATTATAAGGACGGGGCTGTTTATAGGCGCCCCAGGGTTAAAATCCCGGCTTCATGGTGGAAATGAGGACGCAATCCTCATTTTCAGCATTCTGACGGCGTCCTTATTTCGCCATCATTGCGTCTCCTGCAGAAAAGTCGGTTTTGCGTACGAGGCAAGAAGAGGATAATTATCATAATCCCGGCTGATACTTCGATGCAACTCGATAGGGATTTTCTTGGTAAGAGCTGCCTGAGGCCACGAGAGCGAGATCCTCATCATATTCTCTAGTCCTAAGTAGTTTTAAGAAGTCTTCGGACTCCCGAGGGGGGACAGAGCTCTTTTCATTCTCCCTCTTTTTTTTTCCAATTTCTTCAAAGAAACCGGCAACACCACATGAAACATTCAAATCACGGCACAAAGAGGTCTTCAATAATAAACTGGGATGTGGTCCTGACGAATCTTGGAAGCTCGGTTGAGGCATGCCCACAAAATGCAAGAACCACTTGGAGAGATTGCTTTCAATTAGTTGCGTACCTCCTCGAGTAACAGACAGAAAGGCCTCAGTGTTGTATTCCGGGAAGAAGAGTCCCCCCCCCCCTCCTCTCTTTCTTCGCCTGCATCCCACCACTCTACTTAAATTAGCCATCCCTGGGAGCCATTGTTAGGTTGGTATAAATATATATATCAGTACAAATAAATAATGCATAAAAAAGTTTAGTATTATACACATTACTATATAAATATAAAATAAAAATCCGCAATAAATGGCGTACCCAGGCCCTGTCGCGCCTGGGACCATCCCATTGAAATAGAGGACAAAGGCCTTTTAGCCCATAGGTGATATTGTCCTTTTCCGAAATGATTCCGAAAAAAAAGACTCGACCATTGGCCAGGAATTATCAGTTTGGGAGACGTTCTGGTTAGTCAAAGGTTAAAGCTCAGCATGCGAACGCACTATGATCTGTGCTCAAGGAAAAGTGAATTGAAAAACCCGATCCTGATGTATGAAGTTTCATCTCCCTGCGCTGGGGAATTGGTTTCATCTAGGGGAAATGCGAAACGGATCGTCATAAAAGAGGGAATGAAGCTACTCTGTCATTCAGGAATCATGCCTGACGTTAATCAACCGATGAGACTGTCTGACAACCGCTTCTTCCACCCTTTCTTTTTCTAGCACTAATGATGTGCCAGTTTCCTCCAGGTACTCAATTCCTCTCCACTCTTGGCGTCAGCTTTCTCAAATTACGATCTATTAAGTCGATGCTTTGAATAAATTTGCGGTATTTGTCGCTGGCTGCGATTAAAAGCACGGGGAAGCGTTCTCTGACAGATCGAGATTGTTCACAGACGGTGGAATGCGGGGGAAAGGCATGCTTGGGTTCCCTCATGGCAACGGCCGGTCGAAAGCACAAGCACGGACAGAGAGAGCCCGGACAAGTCCTTCTTCTTGCCAGGGACTTCATCGACTGCTTCTACACCAACATCGGAAGGTGAGCAACACGCCCATAAAATCTCAGTGCTTTAAAAATAAAAATAAAAATATTTATTATCAAATTCAGTTTCTAAGGCAGAAACCGAGAAAGCCTCTTAACTCATTGTTGTAATGACGTGATCCGGGAACATTCTCCTCTGCCAGGTTGGGAACAGCGGCGCACACGGAACGCTGGGCGGCGATAGAGAGAGAGGTCCAGGAGAAAGGCACCTACGAGTTGACCACCACGGAACTCGTCTATGGCGCCAAACAGGCTTGGAGGAATTCTCAACGATGCATCGGTCGCATTCAATGGTCGAGACTACAAGTATGCACTCCCATAACTATCGCAAAGTCCGCATTTTTAAACAACCATGCGATTTCTTTATCAAACCGAGTGAGGAAGTATAAAAGGTATCAAGCTTTTTATTGCAAGTTAGAGATATTTATTTGAGATGAAAAGGATATTCGAGTGAAGTGGATTGTAGGTGGAAAAATGAGGTTTTCCTACCGGTCCTTTAGAATTACATTGTTGACCATATGGAAAAGGAACAGCACACCCCCTTGGAAATTTATTTCGTAACAGATCGTGGAGCAGGCCTGAAATCCCTCCCACAACGCACCATCAGGGAAAATAAGCCAACTAGGGCTTTCTTTAGTGACTAGATTTAAGCTACAGTGTTTTGACCACAGATTTAACAGATCGGAGTGATCGCAGTCGCTTCGGTTCACTCATCAAATGGCAAAAGGCGTCCACCCCCTATTCACCTTGTCAAACAACCAGGTGGACGTCCCCCCCGGTGGAAATCCACCTATCCATTCGCGCCAATGTATTTCGAGCCAGGTGGATTTTCCCTCCTGGTGGATTTTCCCCCGGGTGGACTTCGTTCCAACAGGTGGAAATAACGCCTAGGCGGCATCCACCTGGTTCCAAATCCACGGGGGGGGGTGGACGTTTTGTAACCGTCTGCTCGAGTAGAAGTTCCATTTATTGGGTTCGACGTGGTTCTTTCCTACCTCATGCCGTTTCAACATTTTTCTCGTTGAGTTTCATGTCTGGAAGATTTGGGAAAATTTCAAGAACATTTCAACATCCGTTTCTTCCCCCTTCTCTGATTTCCGGAAAAACTGTCGCTTCTTGAAAAAATCTGGAGCCACCCAGGCCTTTCACACTTGGTATAACGAAAGGGTTTCGCCTCGTAAATTATGGGTAAAGTACTGTAGATATGGCAGAACCTCAGTTTTCATGTATTTTAATTATTCAATTTCGATCGGGGAAACAATCAGCACATCTGCATTGGGTTCGTTTCCAACCATCCCGGACGAGATGAGTCCGAATCGCTTTGTGCAGAAAATAGCCTTCGCTCGTGACACT